GGGCACAGGGGGGCACTGAGGGCGGGCGCGGGGGGCACTGAGGGCGGGCACAGGTCAGCACGCGCCCGGCCGGGAGGGGCAGGCGCCCGGCGCCCACTCACCGCTCTCGGAGCACAGCACGAACAGGAACTCGGCGGCCACCCTCTTCACGTCCGTGTCCAGGTGCGTCATGAGCCGGACGAGCTTGTTCCGCAGCAGCTCCCCCACCTCAGGCCGCGTCTTCACGTCCCTCAGCGGGGGCAGCACCTGCGGGCAGCTGCCGTCAGCCGGGCCTGGGGCGGGCGGGTGCCCGGGCGCGCCCAGCCCCTGGGTACCTGCGCCTTCAGGAACTTCCTGGCGGGGCGGTGCAGGCGGGCACACTCGGTCAGCACGCTCAGCACGGGGGCCACGCTCTCCTTCAGCCTGTGCGTCTGCGGGGAGCCCGTCAGTGAGGGGTGCCCCGTCCCGAGGGCAGGGTACACGCACCACACGGGTCTGGCAGGAGGCACTCGGGAGGGTGTCCCCCCGAGGGGCCGGGAGTGGGCAGTGGGTGTTCACTTTGAGAGGCACCCAGGGGGACCTTGACTCCGGAGACCATGTGCATGCTCTGTGACTCAGCTGCTCTGAGTCTAACTCCCCTTCCACAAAGCAGGGCTCTCACAGCGCTTAAAGCTGGGGCACACCTCTGGCTTCCAAGTCACCCTCAGAAAACAGTGGCCAAAAAACCAAAACCCCTACTTCGTGGGTTTCATGGACATAGACCAAGGAACTTCTGCATCCCTCCCTGGTTACCTCCCTGGACCCTAACACCAGCAGTGACAGGGACAGACGGTCACAGCCAGTGTCTAACGCCAAGCACGTGACCCAGCTCACAGTGCTAGTGGGTGTCGTGGATTCCGTGGGACCCACTGAACCTGTCTGGCTATGTGGCCCCATAATGTCTGCAAGCTCCCAGAGGGGCCGATTAGAACCCGCTCGCCACTGTCTGGAAGCTGCAGGCTTCGGGGGCCTCCGGCTCAAGGTTCCATGGGTTCTGGTACAGCTGATGCTGGTCCTCAAGGGATGCCTGGGCACAGCGACACTGAGTCTAGGGCTAGGATCACTCAAACAGGTCTAAAAAGCAAGTACTTTGCTAGACTCTGCAAACTTGGTTCCAGAAGTGGAACCTTCAAGTGTGTGTGGTCAGGTCCACATGCTTCTCACAGAGCAGGGGTCTGGTTTCCTGCCTGGCTGGAACAAAGAGCAGCTGAAGGGATCCCCGGGATCATATCACTGAGCTGACTTCCACTTATCCATGTTGACTTCGCAAGAGCAGTGGCTCCAGCTGCTTGGGAAAGCCAGAGCCACTGGGAAGCCCACTCAGTAGGTGCCCCTGCCCACCTGGTGCAGACGTTTCTCCAGGAAGCTGAGGAGGACACTGATCACATCCATGTTCACTCCCAAGAACTCCAGGGAGCCTTCATGTGGCTCCAAGGTGAGAAGGACATCTAGACACTTGAGGGGCAAGTTTCCCAGGAGGTTCACTGTGTGGCTGGGGACAGTTCAGGAGGGGGCTTGGTTAAGTCCAGTTCCCTAGCGCAGCACAACCTGTGGTGCACCCTGCTGAGGCTACATACAACATGAGCCAGCGTGCAGGGGTCTAAGGAGAGACATGAGGGGGAAAGAACTGAAGGGGGGGAATCTGTCTCAGGAGTACACTAAGTGTAGTGGGTCCCAGAGGAGGGCAGTCTGCAGATGCCCCACCTTCCACCCTCTCTGGGGGCTGAAACATCACAGGTGATCTCTGGAAAACCAGGATCTGCCTAAGCACAGGTCACTGAAAAGGGGGGTGAGTAACCATGCTGCCCTGTAGAAACCACACTGTCCACTGCCACTACCCAAGGTCCAGTGGCACATTCCTGTCTCCCATTCATGGCTCCTGTCCTAACATGTACTGTGAGTGCTGGGCTCTCCGGAAACACACTGATGCTGGTCCCACCCAGAGGAAAGTAGATGCTCTAGGGTGGAGCCTGGTCCACCATCTAGACAGGTGAGCACTTCCCTCCAGCATGACAGTTCCCACCCTCACCCGTGGAACTCCTCTGTGCGGTCTCCAGCAGCAGCAACCATCACACAATGCCGTAGAAGGGTCCCCAGGCACCGGTAAAGGGCAGCGTCTTCCTGACCAAAGAGAAAGGGGCTCCTGTGACAGAGAGCCACACCTGTCCCCACTGCTGCCAGCTGAGGTTCTGCTGTCTGCTCCACGCCAGGACCATGTGTGCTAGCTATCTGTCTCCTCTAGTGCACCCCCCCCCCCC